GCTACTTGCTACTATTACTACTAATTACTATTATTACTATTATTATTATTAATGATAATAATAATAATATTTAATGTGATTAAAAAAATATTACTTTTCAAAACATGTTTAAATAATACATCATTTTTTATTATGTATTTATTTATTTAATTTATTTATTGGACTATGATTTTATTAAATAAATAATGCACATACAAAAACAAAAGCTTAGTTGGCTGGTACATTTTCAAAAAGTCATGAAACCAAAGGACTTCATTTCCAACAATCCCCAAACTCACAATTTTTAGCCCTGCTGTTAATTTGTATTTATTTTTAATTTCAAATATCTGCCAAATGATGTTTAACAGAGCAATGGATTTCAACAGTATTTCCTATAATATTTTTTCTTCAGGAGAGAGTCTTCTTTGTCTTATTTAGTCTAGTTTAAACTTAAAAAAAAAAGATTTTAAGGTCTATATTATTAGCCCCCTTAAGCAATATTTGATTGTCTACAGAAAAAAAAAACATTTTTATGCAATGATTTACGTAATTACCATAACTTTAGCCTAATTAACCTAGTTTAGCCTTTAAATGTCATTTTAATCTGAATACTAGTATCTTGAAAAATAGCTAGTAAAATATTATGTAGTGTCATCATGTTATTTAACAAAAAAATGTACAGGGCAGCTAAGAATTCAGGAGGGCTCATAATTCTGTCTTCTAACTGTACATCACGATAGGCCAGAAAACACTTCCACATCTTTCCATTCCGCGTCTCCTTTAAAAATCTAAAGCAGGTTAATGTGTCTGTTCCCGCGCCTCATTTCAGCCCAGCTGCTGCTATTTTTGGGGGGCGTTATGTGCGTCACCGCAGAGGTGCGTTTCTGATTAAAAGACGTTTTCCCCAAAAGCCATCTGCAGGCCGAGAGCCATAACTCAGGCTGACAGTAAAGAGCAGCGGCGTGTTTGGTCTGGCTGGCGGTGCTGTTGTTTTAGTCTGCAGAGGAAAGAGACGGGAGAGGTTTTGGTGGCTGAGAGGCCTGTTTGCTGCTCTTTGAGATGGCTGGATGTTGAAACATTGGGGCTTGTCAGGCCGCAAGGACGGTTTACATTCCTGGTAAGTGTCCGTCCATCCTGGAATGTGACCGTGGAGAGGAGCACATGTGGACTTGGTAGAAAACAAACACTCTTATAATAATACCCACCAAAAGAGCTGCTCACATCCATGTCTGACTGTCGACCATAAAGTATTGTGTTGCATTGTATTGTACTGTATGGAAGAATGAGGAGAGGACATACAGTAGACAATTATGTAGAGTTGAAATCAGTTATTTATATTTCATTTGTAAATATTTTTATAAGTATTTTTAAACATAATAGATTTGCTAACTAATAACTAATTTCTTCTGTCTTTACCATGATGAGATAAATAATATTTTACTTGTTACTTTTTCAAGATAGTATTCAGATTAAAGTGACATTCGAATACTTAAATAGGTTATTGTAATTATTTGTTCTGTAGACAATATAGGGGGGGGGGGGGGGTTCTAAAGGGGGCTAATAATATTGACCTTAAAATTAGTGTAAAAAAATTATAAAAAATAACTGCTTTTATTTCTGACAAACTAAAATACTTTCCCCAGAAGAGAAGATATTATAGGAATCACTGTGAAAATGTGCTTGCTCTGTAGGCAGAATAGACTGTAGAATGCATTAAGTGTATTAATGAGTTCTGATTTAATAGTTGTCACATTTTATGTAGTGATGCAGTCGATAATATTTTGTTCTAGTGTTTCTGGCTTAAACAGTTGCTGATATAATTTTTATAACATATATCTTTTCCATATATTAATTTACACATAATTATTAAAATATCCTGTTTAATAATTACCTTAAAGGTGATGTATGTACGTTTTTGAGCCTTCTAAAGCTTAAAAATACCATAATATGTTTGAAGATATTTAAGAAACATGCTAAGTGAACATTCTTGTTTATCTAAAAAACAATGCTGAAGTCAGATATTCTGCTTTAACAGTGATTTATGTGCCGGATCTTTGATTTGGTCCCTTTAACCCACCCAATGACAGTTTAGCCAATTTTATTTTAGCACCTCGGGTTGCCTTGTTGGAAAACAGTATTCAGTCATGAAGGCTCTCATAGCATACGTCCGTGATGGAAATGTGACTTTCGGTGGACAGTAGCAGACTATGAACTGAGACGCAGATTCAAGGCTCTATTCTAACGATCTAGATGCAAAATCTAAAGCGAATGGTGCAAAAGCATTAAGGGCGTGTCTAAATGCACTTTTGCTATTTTCAGGATGGAAAAATAAGCTCTGCGCCCGAGATGAAGGCATGAAGGCAGTGGTTTTTATATTTATGTAGATAATAATGTTAATTTTTGTAATATTTACATTTTTAATTATTTTTCATTTGTAAATATATTTGTGTATTGCTGTACATCCTGTGTGTATTAAGCAATGTATAATGGCCCGTTTCCACTGAGTGGTACAGTACGGTTCAGTTTGGTATGCTTTTATGGCCGTTTCCGCTGTCAAAAGGCATACCGAACCAAACCGTACCGTACCACTTTTTCGGCACCCTTTTGAAAGGGTCCCAAACACAAGAAAGGGTTCCAAAGGCGGAGCTAGACGCGCAGCTGAACGCTATTGGTTTACAGAGATACGTCATTCGCTTACGCAACAAGCCAGAATGTAAACAAAGCGGCCGCCATGTTTGAAATACACAGCGAGAGATTACTTGCGCTTGCTGCGCGTCTATATCTAAAATAACTAACTTCTTGAGCTGATGATTATAACGTGCGCTTGATTATTGACAATATTTCTAAAATATATATTTCCGGTGTTAGAACAAAAATTCATTTTAATATGGAAAATATTTCTTCTACCCCGTGCTGTTGCTTTTATTTAGAAGGTTATTTAAATTAGCCTTTAAGCTCAATAGTCAGGCACACTTCTGTTGATGTCATCAATCTGGCAACCTGTGCTTGTGTGTGTTTTGAATCAGACTTGCAATACCTAGTTCAACCACTGGGTGTCAAACTTACACCTTTAGTTCAGTTTATTTATTTTGTTTTTATTTATTAAATAGATTTAAGTAAATTATTTGTTGCTATTATTATTATTATTATTATTATTATTATTAGCATTAGGATTAGCATTAGCATTTACTAATTATATCTTAGTTATTGGCAGTTTAGTTTTACATTTATACTAGTTAGATATTAAGTAGTTATACCTGATTTTAAACTTATACATTTTTATTTTTAAAAAATTAGAAACTAAGTAATAACAAAAAAAAGTTAAATATTTTGTGTTTTACTTGTTTTAAAGTTTTGTTGTAGCATTTATTAATTATGCCTTATTTGCATTTGAATATTACATTTGCTATTAGCGAGCAATATGAAATAATACATTAGACATTAAGGAATTATTCCTATTATATACACACATTTATTTTTTTAAATATGTAGGTGAATTTGTGTATATGTAATTTGTGTGGGAATAGATGTATTTTTATTTATTAAATCAAATTTCTTTGCCATATAATTTAATTTACTTTTTAAACACATATTAGCAACAACATGCCATAGTAATAGTAATAATTAATAATAATTATAATAATAATAATAATAAATGTGTCTGCACTTTGAAACATATTAATACAGTGGAGTTGCTTAACTACTTCTCTTTCCACTGAAATGAGTTTGCGCAGCACTCTTTTGAATTTGGTGCATATTTTTCTTCATGAAAGATTTTATTTTTGAAATACACCACAAATGAGTCTGTCCCTCCAGGGATGGCAGACACAAACGGAGAGTAATATCAGTGAGTGTGTGCTGAGGTTCTTACAGTAAATGTAGTAATAACTGAGAACGCAGCTTTATACCCTGCAGAGATTTCACCTCTCATCATACAGGCTTACGTACACATTATTTTTCCATGTGGCAGTGCAGCCGGTTTTTACAGGCTTCTTCAGTCAACTTTAATGCAAATATTAGTTAAACACTTTCCAAAAAAAGTTATCATCATATTTCTGCTCACAGGTGTTATTTTGTCAAGAAAATGACCCCTGCTCTTCAAAACAATTACGCTATCAGAAGTAAAGAAACAAAAGCTATCAATGGGCCAATGCTCTTTAAAAAGGTATGATTTTGTATGTAAGAGCATGGTGCGCCATTAGCACTTTTGGTCTCTATGAATAAATGCAAATAATACTGTGCAATTATGATATGTTATTATAAATTGCTCATTGGGGAAAAAAAAAGATTCACCATAATCGAGTCTGCTGCGCAAGTTCAACAAATTTTACTTGAACGGAAAATTAGTGTAAGGGTGAAAAACATCCCGTGAGTAAACTAGAGCAAGTTATGCGGTGCTACATTTTTGGTGTGAACCCAGTATTATTCAGCCAATAAAAATTCATCTTTATTTTATTTATTTTTTATTTTTTATTTTTTTTTCACTTTTATTTATTTTTCTTTTATTTATTTATTTATTTATTTATTTATTTATTTTTATTTAACCCAGCAATATTCAACCAATTAAAATCCATATTAAATTACATTTTATTTCATTTTTATTTTGTTTATTTTTATTCATTTTATTTCATTTTATTAAAATCCATATTTAATTAATTTTTTTCTCTTTTCAGTTAGTTTTGTTTTATTTGGTTTTTATTTGTTTTATTTTATTCATTCATTCATTCAATCATTTTCTTTTCGGAGATAGATAGATCCGCATTTGTGGTATTTATTTGGTGTTTCGCAAAAAAAAAAATGACACAAAAATAATCCTTTATTTGTTTATAATATGTCTTGGTCAATAATATTAGTTCGAAAAGGAACAACAGTTATTTTCATCATACTGCGCCATAGCGTTCTGCAGTCAAACATATGTTTAAGTACGTATTTGCATATTTGCAGGCTAGGGCATGTATTTTCAATGAGCCTGTGTTTGATTTGATGCATCCAAGTCATCACCTTTCTCTTTTTTCCCCCAGTGCAAACGTCTGGAGCAAGAGCTTCTTCACATAAAAGAGCCAAGCAACAATTCTGCAAACAGCACCCGCCATTCCACCACCCAAAGCACTCGGGAGCGATCTAGCAAGGTAAAACACAAACATATTTTTATATGTGGTTTATGAGGACTCTTTATAATGTGTAATATATTTTATACTGTAAAAACTGCTTATCATATGGCCTTTACCCACCCCCACCTCTAGCCCTAAACCTAACCATCACAATAAACCTGTGGGATATTTAGAATGTATAAAAATCTAGTTAGGATAGATTTTTAACAGTTTTGAATTACGAGGACACAAGACGTGGCCTTATAAATCACCTCAACAATGTAATACCCAGGTGTAAAACACAGGCTCATAGAAAACATGTGCCCCAGCCCACATTTTTGTGAAACGTATCAAATATGTTGTGCCAGGTACATTTTGTTAAATGTTTCAGATGACAAATCCACTAGAGGGCGCTATGTACATTTTAGCAAATCTGAAATAAATTACTTTGGGTGCATTTTGTTGTATGTTTCAGATACACATCCTTCGTTTACAAGAAGGTGGGTCTTATCGTAAAGATCACGTAGCGAATCACTGACCTAAACCCAACCAATAGTGTTTTCAGAAGCAGATGTAAGAGAAAAGTGCACTGCTACCGTGTAGTTTTACATTGATTGTACATTGCTTTTATCTCTTTTGTAAAACTGTACTTCATTGTTTTGCAATGCTATTGCCATTGTAATACTTAGGTCATACCTCATTATTCACCTTATTCTCTGCGGACGAGTGGGCGCAGCCATTTGAATCTTTTTGTCTCGAGACTTTCGGTCTCATTCACTTCCATTAATTTTTAGACATTAAAAACTGCTTGTTTCGCTGTTTGATGTTGCAAACTGATATTTCCTTGTTATATTATTCTTCTTGGTCTGTATAGTCATGCAAAAATTTGTTTGTAGAGCAAGTAGTTTGACCATTTTTTTGCCGTTTATTATTCCTAGTCATTTTTCCCATAGGTGATTGAAACGGAAGTTCTAAGACAATCGCGAAAACAGGCGCACTTCTGCATTTTAGAATAAGGTCAATACAAATGAGTGTTCTTGAAAACCACCAAAACCAGTACACACACACACACACGTAGACTCTTGAAGTAATCGAGAACTATTTATGAGGTGTAATGTATTTTATACTGTAAAAACTGCTTGTTATATGGCCTTACCCCACCCATATCCCTAAACCAAACCTTCTCAAGAAACCTGTGGCAAATTCTTATGTAAAAGAAGACTCCTTTAAGTTTTTTTTTTTAACAGTTTTGAATTACAAAGACGCATGACATGTCTTTTTAAACCACCTCAACATTGTAGTAGGTCATACCATGTCATTATACAAATGAATGTCCTTGTAAACCACTAAAACCAGCACATGCACAAACACGCATACACATGGACTATTAACAAGTGAATGAGGACTTTGAGGCGAAATGTATTTTAAACTGTAAAATCTGCTTATAATATGGCCCTTTCCCGTCCCTACCCCTAAACTCAAGCTCTCACAGGAAAACTGTGGCAAATTTTAAATATTAAAAGACCCCAATAAATTAGATTTTTAACATATTAAATTATAAGGACACAAGACATTTCCTTATAAACCACCTCAACATTATAATACCTAGGTCATACCGATGTAATTGTAACCCTCCAAAACCAGTACACACACACACACACACACACACACACCTGTGGACTCTCTAGAGCAGGGGTCACCAATCCTGGTCCTGGAGGGCCGGTGTCCCTACAGGGTTTTGCTCCAACTTGCCTCAACACACCTGCCTGGATGTTTCAAGTATACCAAGTAGGAGCTTGATTAGCTTGTTCAGGTGTGTTTGATTAGGGTTGGAGCTAAAATCTGCAGGACACCGGCCCTCCAGGAACAAGTTTGGTGACCACTGCTCTAGAGGAATAAAATATTTATGAGGAATAACGTATTTTATACTGTTAAAAACGGTAGTTTTTAGCAGTTTTGAATTACAAGGACACAAGACCTGTCCTCATAAACCACCTTAACATTGTAATAGAAATATATATATTATTAAATGCAGAGCAAGTTCTGCGATATTATGAACGTGATGTTTTAATGAAAACAATGAACCCATTAGAAACAAGCACTTGATCATACTACAGGATATTCTGGAAAAGAGCCACAATGTGCACCTCCTCGACCGTCATATAATGAGAAATATAACCGTTTTCATGCCAACTTTCTACTATAAACATTAGCTTGCAACAGTTGCCCTGCCTCCGAGCTCTTCTAATTGGTCCACTGCTTTTGGGCCTGACAGTGACGAGCTGCACTGCATGTGAAAGTTTAATATCTAAAGAACATAATCAAGACTCAAATGACACAAGATGTAAGCATAATGGTCAAACTCGGCCATCCAGCATGTGCTTGCATTTAAAAACAATAGAAAAGTAGCATGTTGGAGAGCAAAAGGGCATTCTGTGTGAACGGCCCCTTACCCTACCCCTAAACCAAACCTCACCAGAAACCTGTTCATTTGAATGTGAAAAGATCCCGTTAAGTTAGATTTTGAGTTACAAGGACACAAGACATGTCTTTATAAACCACCCCAACATTGTAATACATGGGTCATACCGATGTCATCATAAAAATGTGTGTCCTTGTAAACCACTAAAACCAGTACACACACAAACAGACTCTGTAGAAATTAATGAGAAGCCTTTATGAGGCATAATGTATTTTATATGTAAAACTGTTTATTAAATGGCCTTAGGGCTCATTCACACCGAATGCGTCATTGACTGCCTCATCCTCCATGATATAACGGTAAATAAAACAGTTGTCGTGCTAACTTTCTACTATAAACATAAGCTTGCAACAGATGTTCCGCCTCCAAAATCTTCATATTGGTCGACTGCTTTTGGACCTGACAGTGATGAGCTGCGATATGTGTGAAAGATGAAGATGGTTAAAAGTTGAAGACAATAGAAAAGTAGCATGTTGGAGAGGAAAAAATCATTCTGCGGGAACGGCCCCTCACCCTACCCCTAAACCAAACCTTCACAAGAAACCTGTGGCAAATTTGGAATGTGAAAAGACCCTGTTAAGTTTGATTTTTAACAGTTTTGAATTACGAGGACACAAGACATGTCCTCATAAACCCCCAACATTGTAATACCTAGGTGTAATACTAAATTAGTGTCCTTGTAAATTACCAAAACCAATACATGCACACACACACACACATTTGTTTTTGTGAAAAGTGGGTACATTACATAGGTTTCTGTTCATTTTATACTGCTCAAACCGTATATTGTATTGCCTTCACCCCACCCTACCCCTAAACCCTACCATCACAGAAGTCAGTGTACAGCTTTACTCTCTGAAAAACTCATTCTGTGTTATTTATAAGCTTTTTGAGAAATGAGGATGTCACCATTGTCCTTATATTTCACCTCCTTTTTGTAAACCTGTGTTGTACCCATGTCATTTTACAGATTTGTGTCCTGATATGTCACAAAAACACGTACACACACACACACACACACGCATATGGACTCTCTAGAAGTGAATACCACAATCCCTCAGTGCTAGAAAACATGCCGGAGGTGTTTGCTAGCAGCAACCCCATCCTCAAATGCGACCTTCAGCGTCTTTATCAGCCGTCATTACACTCTCCACTGTATCATTCATTAACTTGTATTTGCTCTCGGCCGCTCTTGTTTTCCAGTGATTTGTGGCGATAGACTGGCCGCGGGTGTGTGTTTGACAGGGTTTTAGGATGACACGGGCTGGTCAGTCGGCTGTGGGTCTGTTAGGGAGACACAGGGCAAACATTTGATTTGCTGTATTTATCTGATGCAGCGTGAGCCCTTGAGTTTAATGCAGCGCGCTGTAAAAGGGCCGTCATTAGATGGAGCTGAGCAAACACACGCTGAGAGAGCAGGACGGGGGATGCTGAGTCAGGAACAAGACCCGGGCATTTATGACACATCAACACTGCTGAATTGATAATTATATTAGCAGATGGTTGGATCTGATGTCTTCATGACTTACTCTCCAATCGGCCAATGGGCTGCAGATGTCAAAGGGGAGGTTAATCTTGTGTTGATGTTATTATTCTTCTTCATTGTGAATGCTTTATGTTAGTTTAATTTATGCGTGAGTTATGTTTTTATGCAATATAAAATATATTATCCATTACATATATATTAGCGCACTGTAAGTGAAGTTAGTTTGTGAGGCATGTGAATTGTTTGTAATTTTAATAATGTTTTTCAGCACAAGTGCATTAGTTGTGCTAATAGCATGCTGTGGTTAATATTTTTGAAAGTTTACTAGCATTAACCTAGATATTTAGTTTTATTTATTTCTGTATTTATGGGGGTATTTTACAATAAACTTAAAATGTGTAAATTAATAATATTTATTATTTAATAAAATAATAATAATAATATGTGTAAGCGGCTTTGACACAATCTACATGTATTATTATTATTTTAAAAAAAACATGTATTATTATATAAATAAACATGAATTATATTAAATAATCTAATAATATTTAATTTCATTAATTTCTAATTATTTTAATGTTACCTATTTATTTATGGGGCTTTTTTTACAATAAATCTAAAATATCTAAAATATTATAATTATAATAATTCATTCATTCATTTTCTTTTCGGCTTAGTCCCTTTATTAATCTGGGGTCGCCACAGCGGATTGAACCACCAACTTATCCAGCATAGATTTACACAGCGGATGGCCTTTCAGCTGCAACCCATCACTGGGAAATATCCATACACACTCATTCACACACATACATTAAGGACAATTTAGCTGACCCATTTCACCTGTACCGCATGTTTTTGGACTGTGGGGGAAACCGGAGCACCCGGAGGAAACCCACGCCAACACGGGGAGAACATGGGGGGAACACTCTAACCAGCGACCTTCTTGCTGTAAGGCGGTTGTGCTACCCACTGCACCCCCATGACGCCCAAAAATAATAAAAATAAAAATAATATTTGTTATTTTAATAATTTAATAAATAAAATGATTTAAGTCATTTTATTTATGATAAA